TTTTTTTAACGTACCGTCTTTTCCAGACTATAAGTCGTTTCGGAGTATAAATCGCACCAGCCATAAAATGTATAATGAAGGAGAAAAAAACATATATAGGTCGCACTGGACTATAAGTCACATTTTGGGGGGAAATTTTATTATTTTTCTCACAAAATCTGAGACCAAGCGTTTCACATTGCAAGACAAGTACCGGTAACAATAACAGAATAAACAACGAGGTTGCAGCAGCGCGCCACGGTCTCCAGCAGAGGACGGCTGTGTTTGAAACCCTCCCAGCGGGACAGAGGAGCTCATTCCTGGGTTGGAGCCGGCCCGCAGCAGCGCGCCACAGGCTGTAGCAGGTGATGGCGGGGCAGAGGAGCTGAAGCCTTGGCCGGATCCAGCCCACAGCTGCGCACCACAGTCTCCAGTAGGTGATGGCTGTGTGTTTTTTGTTCCCTGTGGGTCAGGGGACCTCACTCCTGGGCCGGATCAGGTGCGTAACGGTGCGCCACAGGCTCCAGCAGGTGATAGCTGTGTGTTTTTTATTCCCAGCGGGACAGGGGAGCTCATTCCTGGTCTGGAGCCAGCCCACAGCAGCGCGGTGTAGCCTACATAATTTGGTGTATAAGTCGCTCAAGAGTACAAGTCGGAGGACCGGCCAGACTATGAAAAAAAGTGCGACTTATAGTCCGGAAAATGCGGTAGTTATTAGTATTTGAGATAAATTAGCAGGCTAAATACATTTCATATATTTCTAAAACTTAGTACTTGTTTGTATCTTGTACAGCCAAGTAGCCTTTATTCTGGACTCAGTACAATTCACCAAAAGTAAAGAGACATTATACAGATGAAGTAAGCACAAGATAACTTACTGGAAGAAACAGAAATATTATCATGAGAACCAGAACAAGAGAGCCCGATAACAGTCATGTGAAAATAATAATTAAAAATGTGTAATAGAAATAAAAAATATATTAGAATTAGTGTAACTCACTGTGATCCAAACAATAAATCAGCTATAGCTGATTAGCAATCATGAAATGAGGTCTGGTAGTTTTTAAGTTTCATTCTTTTATTGCATTTTTTTCTGAGATCTGTTAAAAGGTCACCATGGCAGCCTGTGTGTCTCCAACGTTGCCTACACAAAGCAGCAAGTGTAATTTCCAAATACCTGTCTTGACCACTTCATGAATGGTTTTGTACTTTAAACAGCTAGGCCAAACCTGTTATTTTTTTCTCCATAGCCATTTGGATCATTGGAGACAGCTACGTGAGGCGTGGTGCCCAGAGAGCTGCAGAGACCTTCAGAGACAACCTTGGCCTCCCTGACGTCTGTGTCTCCTGGTTCGGTTGGGGCGGACTGAGGTGGAAAGACCTTCTCCCCTTCTTTTTCAACTCCATGCGAGGAAGAGCAGCTCCTGATGTCCTTCTCATCCACTGCGGCGGCAATGACATGGGGGTGGTCAGCAGTGTGAAGCTGGTCAGCATGATGGAGGACCTGCACCGGCTTCACCTTCTACACCCTCAAATGATGATCATCGTGTCATTCATCACCCAAAGGTGTTGCTGGAGGGCAGGTGTAAAACCTGCTAAAATTGAAAAGGCCAGGAGGTTTGTCAACAGTGTTATGGCTACACTTATTTCTAGCTTAAATGGTGCCGTTGTTGTGCATCCTCACATCAAACATGACAGTACAGGGATATTTTTGTCAGACAAAGTTTATTTCACAAATAGGGGAAATGATATATATTTTTTAACTAATATTGCCAATTGTCTTAATGGCCAGCTCCAAAAGCAGTGAAAGACTTCCAGGTGGCAGTCTCAGTTTTCAGGCAAACAGGATAAACATATCCCTGACTGTTATAGCTAACACTGCTGACAACTCTGTTCTTCCTTCACAACCCAATGTTGCACTCACTCTGCAGCTCTCTGGGCCCCTTTTATTATTTTACGTTTTTTTTAAATGTACTGATACTTTGTGTCCTGCTATTTTATAAAATGTGATGTAGAAAAATAAATGTTTTTGCTCAATTACTGGAATTTCTTTGGTTAAGACCAAAAAGGACGGAAGAATCATTTATGCCAAGTTGTTTCTACAACAGGCCTGTTTTAAGTCCTACAGTTACTTAGCAGCCAATAGAAATGTGTTCTTTACTAACTTTACTTGGTTTAAAAATCTTACTAAAATAAACCTTAGAGGCTGCCGTATTGCAAAACCCTAATTTTTTACAGATAGATATTGGTGTGCAAAAAAACCCCCATAAACTTAAATAATTTGTCATTCTTTATTGAAAAACAACAAAATACAGGTTCAGAAAGTGTGGGAAAATGATAATGTGAAAGTATTGCTCTTTAAATGTAATACTATTTATCTTTAAAAAGAAAAACTCTAAAAATGTCATGTACAGCAACATGAAGAATGGTGGTCTGTCTGTCAGAATGTGCTGAACAGATTTGCTCTATCAAGAGGAACTTTTGGGTACGAGTTTATGTCATTGTAATATTGGTTTGGGTTATATATCGCCACATTAGCATGTAAATGCTGAACCAATCTGGAATAAAGAGGGTTGATAGAGGACAAACTAAATAAGAGAGAAATATAAAAACAACTAGGAAACCAACAGGACACAGGAATCACACAGCAATTCCACCTGAAACATCCATCCATCCATTTTCTGAACCCGCTTGTCCATGTAAGGGGGGGGGGGGGGGGGGGCATCTCCAGCGGCCAATGGGCAATCAGGAGGGTACACCCTAAACAGAGCGCCAGCCCATCGCAGGGCAACACAGAGACACACAGGACAAACAATCACACACACACACACACACACACACACACACACACACACACACACACACACACACACACACACGCACACGCACACGCACACGCACACACACACACACACACACACACACACACACACACAGACAATTTAGACAGACCAATTAACCTAACATCATGTTTTTTTCATCCCAATACATAAAGTTACACATTGAAGACTGACAAAAAAAGAAATTTGTTTAGTGGAATAAATATCCATAGATTTATATGGAAATTAATAAAGTGATTGTTTCCCCATCTAAACAGCCCTAGTCACAGACAATTCAAGGGAGGGGGGAAATTTTTTTCTTGTTACACAGCAATGTAACATCTGTATATTACACAGCTAATGCTTCATTTTTTTCAATCTTAACCAAAATATGAAGTAATGTGTTTGTACCCTGGAGTCCGTGGTGAAGTGATGACTCTCAAAGTGTTCACTGCACAAGCGGGAGTGTGAAGTGGGAGTCCAGCACTCTCTTCTTTGGTTGCTCACCCAAAGGTCAAGCCTCTCTGGATCAGAGGAAAACGTCATACAAAGAACTACTTAAGCATATGGGTTGAAAATACTTAATAGCTTATCATGGCCTGTAGTAAAAGGTCTAAAATTAGGATAAAGAGTTATACAAAATGCATACTTTATACAAAATATATAAAACCAAACACTTGAGTCTATCATCTTATTGGCTAGGATATGAACCTTTTAATAATAAATTTTATTAACTAATTTCCATTTTATTAAACTGCACTAGTTCCCATGAGAACAGGGCACCCGGTCGTGGCTCTTTGTGGACAAATTAGTTATTTAGTCGCTCCCCACCACCACTATTTAACAAATATGCCAAAAATAAAAAAACGAGCGAGTTTATCTGATGGCATACAGACTTCTGGAGACTAACATCAAGCACTATCAACCAACTCTCCGAGCTGCAGTATTTCTGTGGTCAGGTCTCTCTGAGTCCGAGAGCTCCACAAGCGGTCAGCCCACGCAGCAGACAGGCGGTCAGAGATGCGCCGGGGTGACCGCTGGGGAGAACCGGGTGGAAGGATGGAACACAGAAGTCTCCCTCCGAGAGCTCCACCAACATGTCAAATTTCAACCCATTTTTATGTTAAATGCACTGGGTTTTACACCCATCGACATATACCCTATGAATTATTTTACCGTATTACATCTAAATTCCATGGTTATACAGTACATGTTAAAATGGTAGTTAGCTAGCTACTTTGATAAGCTCAGCTAGTGCAAAAGCGGCAGTGACCTAAAGTACATAAATATGATTTTACTTACCGAAAAAAATGAAGTGGAGACTCCTTGGATGCTCTATTAGTGCAATTCATACCACAGCAAGTCATTTTGTTCAACAATTGCACAAAAAATATCCAAAAAAGAATACACAAACGCTACAACTACTGGTCTAAGTTCAGAGACTAAAAATCGCGGAACAGTTTTCAGGCGAGGCCGAAGCTCAGACTGAGGCCTTTCCACGGAGCTAGCTCTGTGGTCACGTGGGTCGGATGCTCATTAATTATACAGAATTTTAGGCTTTTAATACACTTAAACAGAAGAGGGACAAAAAAATTCATCCCCCTCAGAGTTGTCATGAGTGTAAACTAGATCAATTAAACCAAAAACATGTTTTGGTACCAGGCTGTAAACATGTTTATTTCTGCTGTGAAATTGGTATTTTTAACATGGGAGTCAATGAGGATTTGCTCGCTTCTGATACCAGCCCCCAGCGGATGAGGGTGGAACAGCAATTTATTTCACTTCCGGGTTGGCCTCAATTTCAGACCCGCATTGTGGGGGCTTGGTGAACACACACACACACACACACACACACACACACACACACACACACACACACACACACACGCACACACATTTTTACACAAATGAAATCTCATCATATTCAGATAGAGAAGAAAGGATTACCTGTGGCTGATTGCAGGTAAGCCTTTCACATGTAGGAGGGGGATTGAAATCTGACTCATAGTGGATGTGTGTGTGTGTGTGTGTGTGTGTTCCCCTTCTTCTTTTGACCTCGCTGTGACTTTTCTTATGACTAAAATGAAAAAAAAAATTCTCCTTTGATTTAATTTTTTGCAGCCGCAGGACAAGTTCAGGAACTTGTGAAAAGTCACCCGCTCATGATCTCTCAACTAAACCGACGTGTGTTTTGACACTTACAATGTTCATGAGTGTGAGAAGGTAGTTTTGCACGTGCTCCTTCCCGTGAAACTGGACCACAGAGTCATCCACGCCCAGCAGCACCTCGATGTTGTAGGCCCGGTCCAGACTCTGCCTGCGCACCCGTCCTGCCCGTGTGTTGTTGATGCTCTGCTCCACGCCGCGGTACAGAGACTCCAGGTCCATCAGGCCGCCCAGATCTGCACCTGAAGATAGAAAGTGTTTGTCATCCGTGAACTCCATTTGTGATGGACACGAAACACACCTGGATCTGTGTGAGCAGAATAAAACCAACACGACTTGTCACTCAGGTCTGATTCTGTGAGTTTTCATTTGACACAATGTGAGTTGATGTGATACTACAAAGAAAAAAAGTCTTACGCAATTTAAAAGACAAATTATGAATGGATCTGATAAAATTACTTACATTTATGACAACTGGCTCACAATTACAGGTAACAGAGTGAGGCAAGGTGCAAAACCAGACAGTCAAAACACATCAGGCAGTAACTGTGTTTAAAACAGTAACTCAGCAAAAGGCGCCTTCGCTGTTATGAGTTATAAAAGTAAGTTAACCTTGTGCAAAGTGTTTTTATTGTCTTTCAATTATATTAAAAATCTTACAAATATTCATGGAACGATGAAAACAAAAAGGAACCTTGCTAGAAATGAAAAAGTCTTGCTTTGGTGAGGTTAAAGCTGTGAAACCAACAACAACAATACTCCTGATTAGTCAGTCCTGCTGAGTTATTGACCTATGGGGAGAAAAAGTCCACCTTTAGATTAATCTAGATCAGAGTTAGATGATCCATGCGATCAAGATTAAGCAAACAATGTTGTACTGTGACTGAGTGTGTATGGATGGATGAGTTATGGATGGATATGTCTCTGTTCACATTGCCAACATCAACATACAAAGAAGAACATCCTTAGGTTAGCTACAGGTTAACACAGAACTGCTCTGTGGTCATGTAAAGCTGATTTGTGTCTTGTATTGAAGGGATACTTGGCAGTTTTGCTTGCTTTTAGCACCCCCTAGTGTTATTAATTCTCTGTGGTTAAACAGAATATCTCCTCACTGTGTGTTGTTTTTTTAACACCTTAATCTAAATGCTGAAATGTCTTCATTAGTTTCTAGAGGAGTGATCCATCAGACTCCAGCTCCACCATGTCAGCTACACTCCACAGCGCCCTACACCAGTAGGGAGTGACCTGGCAACTCTAAAGTTGCAAGTGTGGCACACTTTAAAAGTTTGGACATTGTGAGTCCTGCTGTAACACATGTGTAGCATGTTGATGTCCTAACACCTCCTCCCATGTGTAGTCCAGAACACCAGCTGACAGAACCGAGCATGTATGTCCTTTGTAACCATTGGTAACGGTGCGGCCATCCTTCACAGATCCTCTCCTAATCAACCAAATATTTCTGCTCCCATCTGAATAAAGGGAACAGATGGTGCTTGCTAAACACATGGATTGAGACAGCTCCTTCACACGGGGGCTGCCCGCTCTGCTCTTTCCTCAGCTTGCTATACACTTCTAAACAATGCAGATTCCAAAAGGAACTGACTTTACGGTCATTTGTCTTAATAATTTGAGTATTACTGCTGCGTATACTTTTATTAGAGTAAACCTCAGACTTTGTGAGCTTCCATTTAAGTAAAATTAAGCAATAAACATAAAAATATAGAATATGAATGATGAACTCTTCTGATCCAAGGTCGTCCTGATGTGTTATGATTGTCCAGTGCCGGCGGATCGAACGCAGCACTGTCCTCGCTGACTTCAAGGCTTCCCACACCTAAGAGATGACACACAAACACAGCTCAGGGTGCTGCGTGTGTGTGTGTTAGCAGGTGTTAGTGTGTGAGCACTCTGTGAACAAACATTTCCGACTGGGCTATAAATCACTGTTCCAACAGGAGCTTTAATTTAGCTGAAGCTAGAGGGTGCAGGGCCGACCAACCGTGCTGTTTCTGACTGCCGAGCTTTATTTGGAGGCGTTCAGGAGTCAATTCAATGTGTGGAGACACGAGAGGGACATTTGGAACCACTGGGGTTTGACACCTTTAGTTGGAGCAAGTGTCAAAAGGAGCAAAACGAGCAAGATGCAAGAGGGAGACATGTGGAGGAGGATGGGGGAGAGAGGAAGAGATCCGCCACCTTGTCTCCCAATCAGCAAGGGGCATCTTGCTTCTTTCCCACTCCCTCTTATGCAACGTTTCCAAGACAACGGGCTCATGGGTAAAACAACAAACACGTGGTTAACGTTGGCTGCTGAGTTGCGAGCAGAACTAATCTGAAAGTCTGACTATTATCTCATATCTGCCCACATTCCAGCGAGTGAAAAAAAAATAAATTAAACAGCAGAGAAACAGAACAACAGGAGGTGGGGGCAAAGAGAAACAGTGACATTCAGACACATCGCACTCAGACACATACAGACGCTCCTTCTCCTCGTTAGCACAGGACGCTGTATTTAAGGCAGTTTACAGAACTCATGGTCTGCCTCTAATTATAGCCGCCTCTAACGAGCCTGATGTCATAACGGCCCTATCCGCTTCACACACACACACACATATAAAGAAAGAGAGAGACAGAGAGAGAGAGAGAGAGAGAGAGAGAGAGAGAGAGAGAGAGAGAGGGAAATGTGTTCATTTTAACTTCTTAACTCAGTACCTTAAAACACCAAAGGAGACAATCCAGCCACATTGTATAAATCAAGGCCACGGGTCTTTTCTAATCAGGAGAATGAAACTGACTCACAGCTGAGCGGTGAACAAGATCTGACTAAAGTGAGTGATGAAAGGTGTTTGATCAGGTATGACGCTTTCATTGTGTCTCTGTCCTTGCTTGCATTAGCAGGAACATTTTTGTATCTTTCCCTCTTGGTTCAGCCAGTTTCATTCAGGAAGAAAAAGAAAGTGTGGAGAAATGAGGCGCAGTAGAGACTGAGGGAGGTGAGAGGTAGAGTCTGAGGGGTGTGATGGATGAGAGATGGAGATGAGAGGAGCACAGAAGGACCTTGGGTGTTGTGAGTTTCCGCTTCAGGCTTGGTGTCTTCTGCAGCGGAGCGTCTGAGTCTTTTCTTCACAGCAAAAACTTACATCAGCCTCTGACACAAAGCTGGTTCCATCATCGTCATAAGCATGAAGTGCTTATCATCACTTTAAACACTTTTGTCCTGTTTTGAACCCCCCTCAGCCAGTGTTCAAGAGGGAGTTTTAAAAAAGTCTCAAATTATTTGCCCGCGCTCTGTATTTCCTTCCAGAAAACCTCTGTGTCTTTCTCGATAAAATGAGAATAAATTAAAAACAATTCAAGACATAATTAAGACACTCATGATTACATTTTAATCTGCACACAATTTTACAATGTACAATTTTTCTGTTCTGACAGGTTTAAAAGTGTCACAAATAACCAGCTCTTTAGTTTCTCTTCATTTACTGAATTTCTTTAGCCCGCCCCCCACACACACACTTCACCCCATTTACACACCTCTCTTGCTTGCTTGGTGTTTTCATTCAGGTGGGGTGTGGAGTGTGGCCTTATTAGGAGACAAAGGTTCTTTGTCTTTCAACCTTTGCAAATGTCAAGAATGTCTGGTTGGCTGCTGAATACTGGGCGGAGGGGGGGGGGGTTTGAGAGAATAACAACGGTCTAACAAGAGAAGGAGAAAGGTGATGATGATTCAGGTCAAGCAAACAATTTGGTTTAGGATGTGGTGAGGAGTGGGACCAGTGGTGCCCCAAAAATATTCGGGTGGGGGTGGGGATAGTAATTTGGGGGTGGTGGGGGTGGGGGGGGGTGGGGGGGGGGGGAGGAGATGTGTGGTAACTCTGGGAGAGTTTAGCATTTAGCTGAGCATTATTCCTCTTGTTTGCACAAACATTTCGGAAAAAATAAACACTTATTTAAATACATTTAATTTCAACATTTATTGTTTTACCATTTTATCCATCCATTCATCCATTCATTCATCCATTTTCAGACGCTTTTCCGGAGTCGGGTCACGGGGGCAGTAGCCTAAGCAGGGATGCCCAGACTTCCCTCTCCCCAGCCACTTGGACCAGCTCCTCCAGGGAATCCTAAGGTGTTTCCTGACCAGCCAACAGAGTCTCTCCAGGGTGTCCTGGGTCCTCCTTTAGGCCTTCTCCCGGTTGGATGTGCCCAGAAAACCTCACCAGGGAGGCATCCAGGTGGCATCCTTACCAGGACTCAGGATGCCTGAGCCACCTCAAATGGCTCCTCTCGATGTGGAGGAGCAGCTGGTCTACTCTGAGCCCCGCCTGGATGACTGAGCTTCTCACCCTGTCTCTAAAGCCGGGCGTACACTGTGCGACTTTTTCACTTTTTTGAGCCGATTTTCCAGTCATGCGAGAAGCCACGACATCGGGGCGAGTTTTGCGCCGAGTGGTCGTGTAGTGTACAGGGGGTTACGAGAGGCGATTAAGACCACGTGACCAGCCGCCGATCAGCAGTCGTGAGGTCGCAGGGACTTCTGGTGTGTTTAATATTTCGCTCGTCCCTCGTGAGGGTATCGCACTGTTGAAGCGGCGCTGCGAGCAGCTGCGAGCAGCTACGATCCAAAAAGTATCAGAACTGCTCACGGCGCATGCGCGCGCAATCCTGCATCAACGCCGGCCGGTCGCTCGCTATTTCCCTAATAACACACACGCTGTTCGTTTTTGTTTCTACACGTTTTTTTACTCACAAAGATTGTCAAGAAAGCGTGTTTGTCGTGTTCATGTCAAATTAAACTGATCATAAAACACAGATTCACTTTCTTTATTTCGTTTTCCTCATCCAACCCCCATAAATCCCTGTGTGTCCTCCTGCAGCACTCCCGAAGGACAACAGGCAAGACAAAAAAGTCTGACGTGTTGTGTAAAAACTGCTATTTTTAGCACATTTTAGGGCCGACGTGTTGCTACCAGACGTACAGTGTGAGCAGTCAGGTCGCATGCGAGAACTGGGTCGTACAGGGTGAGCACACGACTCGTGAGATCTGCTCTGCGAGGAAGTCGTACAGTTTGAGCTGAAGCTGAACGCTGCGAGTGAAAAAGTCGCACAGTGTACGCCCAGCTTAAGGGAGAGCCCAGCCACCCTGTGGAGAAAACTCATTTCGGCTACTTTTACCTACAATCTCATTCTTTCGGTCACTACCCAAAGCTCGTGACCATAGGTGAGGGTAGGAATGTAGATC